TATAAAATACTAATTGTGGCCATTCGGTTACTTTTATTATTGCAAATTATTAGTAATATAATGTAGAAAATTACTGTACTATCAAAATTATCAGTATCGATTTTGTGAAAAGATAGCCTGCTACTAAGATATATTATAGTTTAAATTACTAATAATTTAATAATTGTAAACTAAATTTTATTGAAATAGCTCTCTCACTCTCTTATGGCATATGGAGAATATAATGGTAAATTACTAAAGTGAGAGAGCTATTTAAATAGAATTTAGTTTATAATTATTAAATTATTAGTAATTTAAACTATAATACATATTATGAACATCTTTGTTTCTTTATAAAAAATTAATAAAAAATTAATATTTAATTATAATTAAAAAGTAATGGAGCTCTCTCGCTTTGACTGGGTCTGGGTCCAACTGGGTCTTAAAGTCAATTCCATTTGTGTGTGCAAAATTAATTATTATTTATTAATTATTTTAATGATTCACATTATAATGGTTTGAATAACTAATTATGCAATAATGCAATAATAATTTTGCTTAATGTATTTGTTTAGGACATGTTCTTAAATTCAATATATAGAAAGTATAATAATTAATATATTAACTGTTGGATCATAAGCACTTGATATTAAGAAATAATAATGATAATTATAAAACTATTTAGACTTTGTACTCAAAATATTTATTAATAATTAGTCATATGATTAGAGTACTAAAACTAATTTGAAGTAGACTATTTTGATAGCATTATACTTTAATAATAAAAAATAACTCTATAAGTATATAACAAAAGTGATATGATAAAATGAAATAAATTTTTATAAACATTTGTATTTAATTTCTTTAGATTTAATATTATCATTTATGTTATTTAAATATTTTTATAAAAGATTTATATTTATGTTAAAAATACACCTAATTTTAATCCGTATATATTTTTAAAAAAATAATATTTATATAAATTATTTAAAAGTTACAAACAGATTACTAGATGTTTAATAGAATTTTATCATTATATAAATGTTTGTCAAAATATTTCTTGGATCTATTTTACGAAACATTAATTATTTATCGTTTTGTAATACAAGTTTAGATTAAACAGATTTTTACATTTTCCAGAATTAAGCATGTTTAATTATAATTTATCATAGTGATTAATATATATGAATTTAGAAATATTATTATTATTTTAGATCATGAGAATATTAACCAATTAATTATCAATTGACAACATTATATAACAAGTGTTTTGTTCATTTATAATGCATTTCATAAATAAATAAATTATTATTAATGATAAGAAATAGTATGACTGATAGGGAGTGTAATACTTTAAAGTACGTACCTTAAATTAAAGTTAACGAGCAAGGTGTAATTATTTAATTAAAATTACATTTTACAATAATACCAAAAGATTATTTGTTGTCAAATATTGTTAATAAAGTATTCAGAATTTGTAAATTTCCAATTCTACTTTTAAATATATATAATACAGGTAGTAAAATATATTTTGATATATTAGAATAATAAAGTATTTATGAAATCAAGGTCAATATTACCTTGTGTATTTAATATTTCTGATTGAAAAAACTCCGACAGTTAATGTGATATATCACACGGATGTATAGGTAGTAAACATATGAATACAATGTATAAATAGCGGTAAAAATTATTGTAAAAACTTATTATTTTCTGTTCAAAAATAATAACTAAAAATGAAAATCATTTTTTCATTAATAATAGCATTCAGTTGTTATGCTATTCGTAAGTATTGTCTATAAATATATTTAATTTAAAGTTATATTATGTTTAAAACAAATCTCATTATATTAATAAAGAGGACGTCGATGCTAACGGTCCGGCTATAGTAGCAGCAGCCAGGTCTCAGATAGGAGTTCCCTATTCATGGGGTGGTGGCGGTTATAAAGGCAAATCAAAGGGCATAGACCAGGGTGCCCATACAGTAGGCTTTGACTGTTCAGGACTGGCCCAATATGCCGTGTATAAGGGCACCAAAAAGATCATCAACCGGACGGCCGCCACCCAGTACTCCGACAAACACTGCAAGCGTGAGCCCTATGCCAGTAGACAGCCCGGGGATCTCGTGTTTTTCGGTAGCCCTCCCCATCACGTGGCTATCGTGTCGAGTGCTACCCATATGATAGCCGCTCCCCATACCGGTGACCACGTCAAGGAACAGGCTATTTATGCCACTGAACGTCAGCCCTATGTTGAGAGATGTTTCTAATAAACGAAGTAATAATTTGTAAATTTTGTTCATAACATAAATAAATATGAAAATAATTTAAAAATAGTTGTTAATATTGTATAATTATTTTTGTTTTACTTATTTTAAAAATTAAATAAATTAGTGCATTATGAATTAAACTTATTACAGTTAATGTTTTTATTATATTTATTCATATTCATATAATTTGTAAAATTCGCATTATTCTACAATAAACTGTAATTAATAATATTTCATAAAACCCATTTCTTAATATTTAAATTTATTTTGTTTGTGTGGCTCCAGTAATACAGCTCCAATATACTGTATTAATGATAATATTTTTATGATATTAAAATCATTTACAATCTCGAATAGTATGAATATAAAACAAAAAAATTCAAACCAATATTTTATAATCAGAAAATGGCTATAAAATCATAAACTGATATAATGAAATATTTTAAAGTAAAACTTATTTAACAACATTAACAATATGGTTTCAAAATTGTATTTAATTTAAACATTACATTACTATGTTTTATAATACATAATAACCACTACTTTTGAAAAATATAATTTTATATTATATATTATTTTTAAAAATTCATTGTCATGATTAAAATGATATTCCTTGTTAAATATACCAAAGTAGCTGGTACAGACTGATTTCGAAATCATTGCACACATACATAGCGTGAATGAAAAACAAAACATTATAATAAAATAAATTCAATAAATCGAAAGATATTGATAAGAAATTATTGACTGATAAACACTGGGATATTTAAAAACACAAAGTCTAATTAAAGGTAGTTAACAAGGTTTCTTAAATTTCTAAAAATCCATATATTCATACATTTTATATAATATTTTTTAAAATAAATAAAAAAGTTTAGTGATAATATATACTATTTAAAATTTAAATATAATTTAATTATTTATTAAATCATAATGTTAATTATTAACCAAGGTCAAGATTAGCTTGTTATAAAATATTTTGGTAATATTTGATAAATTTACAACAGATTGTAGCTGGTATATATCTCACGGATATATAGATAGTAAACAATTCAATAAAAGGTATAAATAGCTATGAAATATAATAGCTTAATTTAAAAATATTTTTATTAATAATAAGAGTTACAAATATTATAATAGTAGTATAAAACAATTAAAGTTAAAAATGAAATTATATTCATTAACTCTAATCATAGCATTCAGTTGTTATGCTATTCGTAAGTATTGTCTATTCAAATATTTAAAATTAGTTTTAAAAAATATATTATATTTAATACAAACCTATATTTATATAAATACAGAGGATTGCGATGCTAACGGTCCAGCTATAGTAGCAGCAGCCAGGTCTCAGATAGGAGTTCCCTACTCATGGGGTGGTGGCGGTTGGCAGGGCAAGTCACTGGGCATTGACCAGGGTGCTCATACAGTAGGCTTTGACTGTTCAGGGCTGGCCCAGTATGCTGTGTATAAGGGCACCAGTAAGAAAATCAACCGGACGGCCGCCACCCAGTACTCGGACTCCCAGTGCAAGCGTGAGGCCTACGCCAACAAACAGCCCGGGGATCTGGTGTTTTTCGGTAGCCCTCCCCATCACGTGGCCATTGTCTCCAGTGCTACGATGATGATCGCCGCCCCCAAAACGGGTGACTTTGTGAAGGAACAGGCGATTTATGCCACTGAACGCCAACCCTATGTCGAGAGATGTTACTAACTATTGTACAGATTTTTGTCAATTTGGATTGACTTTGAAAATAAAATTTATTAAGCATTTAACTATAACTAAATTTATAACTAAACCATAAAATATAATTATATAACTTAATAAAATGAGTGATAATAGATTATTTTGGCCTTAAAATAGATATGTGACAGGTATATTCAATCTAAAGACAACGGTTTAGCTTTGAAAACTTAGTAATGTAAAGCAAAAGCTTTAAATTAACAACTTACGCATACAAAATATACGAGTAAGAAGCTAATTTAAAGCTTTTGCTTTACATAAACTAAGTTTTCAAAGCTAAATCGTTGTCTTTATATTGAATATACCTCTCACATATATTTATTTAAGTATTTTTAAATACAACCTGTATACATAACATAGTCATTGTATTTCTCAATGTATTAAACAATATTAGATACTATAAATGAAATGATTATGGTATGTATACAGTTTGAATTGAAAAATACATAACCCTTTTATGCAAGTAGAAGATCAATTGTTAGGGTTGCCAAACTTCCAGTTTTGACCCGGAGTCTCCAGACTCACTCACTCCAAACTCCAGTTTGAGGTCTGACCTGGAGGTTGGGATCTCCAGGAAATTAATTCAGAACAATTCAATGTTATATTTTAGACATTTTATGGAAGTAAGGTCGTTTTGAGTCTACAAAAGGATTTGATGTTTATAATAAAACTAAATATATTTTTATGGCTTCAGTATTTAATAAATTTATCAAAATAACCTGGATCCTATTTATGTGGGATAGAAAATTTTAAAGAATATATTTTTAATGTTTGATAGTTACCTTTTGTGTAATTAACTAATTTGTTAGTTTAATTCTTTTATAATATTTGGTTTAAATTATAGTATATTTATTTCTATTCAAATCTTAAATAACAATTATTGTAAAGATTTTGAATTTAGTCCACAAACAATGTTAAAGAAAATATTTACTAAATATCTGTATCAAAATAATCCGAATAAATTAATTATTAAAATTAATTAATGGTGCTAAATTTTATTTAAATTATAAGTATTTTTTAAATAATACAATTTCAGTATTACGATTTTTTGCATTAAAATATGAAACATATTCAAAATATTAAACTGACATTTTTAACAAAAGTATTTTATCCAACAAAATTAGTCTGAATTATTGCAAATCTCGAGTTTTAAAAGGTATAGAGTTGACAACACTACCACCAACTGTTGTGGTTAAAATAAGTCCATGATGAGAAAGTAGTTAGCAATCGAGATATACACAAATTGGTAAAACTCCCAATTATTCATTGGAAATAAATCCAAACAATAGAAACCAATGTCCGGACCCGACATCTGCTCAATGAGTGTCAATACATGCAATCGGTTTGCGATTGAGATTTGTTTGTATTTTATGAGACATTTGTATAGCAATGGCAATGATTTTCGGGCGGAATTTGCCAACAATACGTTCATTATATTCACCGATATTGTGGCCGTAAAACAGAAAAATACCAAAAATATACACAATAGTCTCGTTACTAATATGCTGTCCCTATGATGTATGCCATACAATGCCATTTCATACGCCGGGGTCGCCATGTAGTATATAATAAATACCGCGTATTTAAAGAAATCGTTGAAACCTTTGATAGTGATTTCGATGCCATTAAACTCGTGTATTGTCAGCATTAATGTGTTTTCATTTAGACGAGAAGTTGTCTGTAGTAAACGAAGTTTATAATACACCTCGTTGAATTTAAACACGCCATATGTAGTAACCAGGTAATATAACAGAAATCCACCCCATAATAGAAATGATGCGCGTATAATGAATACTTGCTGTATAATTGAGCCTACGATTAGACTAATTACGGGTGTATTTGAATAGCCGGATGAATACAGTAGTATTGTAGCGAATATAGCGACCAATGTTGTCACACATATGCAGCCCATCACCAATACTTTGAGCACATATTTAGTAACAAATCCCAGTCTATTCACTAACCTAACCGTATTTTGTTTACTTAACGGCCAATCGATACTTTGTGTTTTTATCTGGCTACAATACGTTAGCCATTTGGCAGTGTGGGTCATTTCCGTGTGCTGGATGACTAATCCTAAACATAGCAAAGACAATGAAAATAATGCTAACCCTAAATCCGCTGCCATAGGTTCGGTCATCACTACAGTTAAGTCATACATCCAGTCCCGCATCCATTGCTATTATATACAATATTAAGGGTTACAACAAATAATTTATAACACCCAGGTCTAACAATTTAATACCTGATTAACAATACCGCATACAGCAAATCTGATCAAATTAAGCAAGGGCACAAATTGACAGACTGTTACCGCATAAAGTCTCCATGGAATTATTTTCCCTGTTTGTATTTATTGTTTGTAAAATAATGCAAATTTGTTAAATTCACCTACTGTTCATTTCAGATACAAAACACTTATTTAATCTAGTTATTTGTGGTTGTTCAAAATATGTCAAAATATGTATTTTCAATCACATAAATAATGTTTTTAATAATCTTACGGTATATATTGAATGTTTAATATGACAGCTGTTAAAAAACTAACAAACTGAAATTATAAATATTCTAACATTTATATATTATTAGTTTTATCATCATTATTATTTTAAAAGTTTTAATCTAAATACAAAATATGCATAAAATAACACTTTTAAACTATTAATTTTCAAAGGTTTGAGCCAGGATGTTATAAATTGAACAGTAGGTGAAATGCTAAGGTGTTATAATAATGAAATGTGTCCTACCTGAAATATAGTCCTCGTGGTTCTCGCTTATTAATATCAAACACTTAGCCTGCATTGTCATCATCCAGTTTATTATATACGTCAACTCATTTACAGCTTTAATATACTGAAGTTTATCCTTTTTAATTTGCTTGATAACTACTAATTTAATATGACGTCTTCTATCCATTGTTATATAATATTGAATTTGAAACTAGTTAAATTTATCAATTGCTTATTATTTTTGCTCTAAAAACTCATATAATAGTGGTCTGTATTTCTGAAATGAATCTGAAATAATAAAACAAATTTGCTGACAAATGACATATGAATGAAATATACACGTAATTAAGTACTTTGCAAAATATAAATCAATACATGGCGTAATCGTAATAAAGTTTATTCAAATTCAATGACATTATTGATCAAAAATATTAATTACAAATATTTATACATTGACTTTATAACTATATAAAAATTTATTTTGATCATTATATTTAAATAAATATCAAACATCCAAAAATAAATCTCATAATTCATATCATAAGTTCTGATGTCAACAATACATAATATTATTTTGAGCATATTTCCACATATTTATAATAATACAGTACATGACCTAGACACGTTAATGTATTTAATAATTGTTTATTGCAGAAATATTAATTCATTTATTAACTATGGATTAATTTATATGATAATCATTAATTAATTTACTAAAAATTTTAATTTATAAAATTATTAAGTAGCTACTGTATGTATTTTACATAAAACATAATTTTAGTAGCTTATTTTGCCCATGAATATATAATTAGTATAACTACATTGTATAATAAACAAATTTTTATTTTAAAAATATATTAGTAATTTTGAAAAACAACAATCATTGTAGTAGTAGCCAGGTCTCAGATAGGAGTTCCATATTTGTGAAGGAGCAGGCTATTTATGTCACTGAGCACCAGCCCTATGTCGAGAGTTACTAAATATTTGTACAAATTTTTGTGTAGAAATATCTATGAATTTGGATAAACTTTTAAAATAAATTTTATCAAACATTTGACTCTCACTAGAAATATTTATTTTGATTTATAACAATTTAACACAAAAATATAATTAAATAAAATAAGTGATCACTGATTTCATTTAACCTTTAAATAGATACATTTGTTGAATTTAAAATTTATAAGAAAACATAACATTATTTTTAGGTTTAGTTAATCCTTTATTTAATTAACATTATATTGTAACTCAAAAGTTATGTAAACTTTGAACAGGAAATAATTTTCTAAACAAGATCGTTTTAGACTTTAGATTTATTTACATAAATCATTTGAACCTAGGTCACTACAGTATTGAACAAACATTACATAAAATTTATATATAACTGTTGTGGTTAAAATAATCCCATTATGAGAAAGTATAAGCATCTTCAAAAAGTTCTGGGTTGACAAAATGTTTAATAGCTCGGTTATTACTTGTAGCTAAAATCTGTACTCTGGCACACTTAAAGTTCATTATGAGGTAGCAATGATAAATCAAGAATATTCTGTATTACACCCGGAATATTCTGTTATATTGGATGGTTTGCTGGACCCATAGTCAGCGCAAAGATTACTAAAGTTAGAAAGCTATGAAGTAGTGGGTATGGTAGAGGGGAAACTAT